TGTAGGAAGGTTTAGTCTTCGCTCGCTGTTGGTAGATAGATTCTACAATATTTCAACTTTGAAAGTGTTTTTATAAGGTTTGAAAACTTTGAAAAGTTGATGGTTAGAAAATCAATCAAAAGTTCTTGAAAGGAACTGAAGCCCTCAGATGTCTTCGGCATGTAGCGATTCTCCCTTTTGCCTGTCTGTAGTGTTATAGGCAACATGCAAAACGATTTCTGTCTCTGAAACAACCGACAACAATAGTAATAGAAGAGGAAATTTACTATGCTGTAAATGTAGATAGATGCATTCAGCAGGGATTTCTCTTCGAATTGTTCAAATTGTTAATCAAAATTTTTTTGTCAACCAGCCAAGCCATAGCATGTATCTTTGAAAAATCTTCCCTTTTTAGTTTGTAAAAGTTCGAAGAGAAAGCATCCCTTTTCTAAAGCGTTTATAGTTAGTGATAGATGGAGTAACGTATATGACTGCCTTCCGAGAAGTAAGCGTAGGAAGAATTTGCTCTTCATTCACGCTAATATCTTAATTTTCCCCTATTATGTTTATGCCTGTTTTTACAAGAAAGTTGCCATCAATGCGGTTGTAAATTCTCAGCGCGTGGTGTTCATTCATTAATGCAGCACTGACGTGACTGGTGCCACTGTAGTCGTTGCAGTCTTGCTTAGGTTTGCATTTGTACTTTTGAATTGTAGGTGATGAAAAATTTCCTTGAAATTGTCAGGTCGCCTGCATTATGTTGTAAAAAACCTGAAATCTATCAGTGCCTTTCAAATAAATGTTTTGCAGAAATGACCGAAGATCGCGCTGACATGAAGAAAGACGATTCGGAATCTAAAGGTGCGAACGGCGATCGCGATCGCGGCGGTAGTCCATCTGCGAATGATAATGGCGCTGAGCGTGAACAACGCGATGACGTTTGCCGCGATTTTCTTAAGAACATATGCAATCGCGGCTCACGTTGCAAATTCTACCATCCCGCAGACAGCAAGCAGCGCACTGAAGATATGATCAATTTCTGCATCGACTTCCAGGTGTGTACAAGCGTTTCATTAAGCTTAAGCATTTTAAAGTAAGATTGCTCATAGTTAGCCCTGGAAGTTTAGCGTTACCGCCTAAGGTTATTTTATGCGGTATGCACAAGTTTTTTGCGAGTTCAGGCTAACTTCCATGAGAAGCGAAAATTTCAAGCATAGTTTTCTAACAAAGCGATTAAATTAACTTAAATTCAATAAGGCTTTTTAGAACCGTGGCTGTATGCGCGACAATTGCCGCTTTGTGCATGCGTCGCGCGAGGAAGTGGAGCGCTACAAGCACACGCGCGAAGTGACGTTGCCGCTCGCGCGAGCAATCGCAGCGGTCACGCAAGGCGACACTATCGCGGGAATCCCGGTCTGCAAGGAGTTTCAGTCTGGCAAAT